CACCTCTAGTCCCAGCTACTCAGGTATGACAATGGCTTGAACCTGGGAGGGAGAGGTTGCAGTGAGCCGAGATTGTGCCATTGCACTCCAGCCTGGGTGACAGAGTGAGACTCCGACTCAAAAACGACAACAACAAAAAATGAGTTGGGATTAAAATTCCATTTATAAGCCTTTGTTTAAATTTAAACCATACAAAGTTTATAAATTATACGAATCAAAGCAGCCTAAATTCATCAAGCATTGCACAGCCTTTTTTTTTTTTTTTTTAAATCAACTTTTGTCATGATCTCATTGTTAGATGGAGAAATCTTTGAGGTTTGATTCCTTTGTCTCATGTTTTTTCTTTGGTTTTGTACTCTATTTTGTAGTGCCCTTTTCCCATGTTTTGATCCACAACCTTCTTTCCATCTGCATATTTTGTTCCGCTTATCAAAATTGGAAGTCATTTTATACTGGGCATGTAATTTAGTGATCAGTTGCACTTATAAAGTATGGATACATTTTAGACCTTTAACATAACCAATGTTTATTTATTAAAACCCTTTATCTGTTACCTGTGGGTTAAAGAACCTTGCTTTTAGAGTCTTGGACTCTCCTTCATCTTCTTGCTCATGTAATTATAAAAGTATTAAATGTCTCTCTGAAGAAAATTTGCTGCTCTTGTTTAAGTTTTGCTTATACTCCATCAATTATTATTATCATCATTATTATTATTGTAGAGACAGGATCTCACCATGTTGCCCAGGCTGGTCTTGAACCTCTGGGCAAAAGAGATCATCCTACCTTGGCCACCCAGAGCACTGGGATTACAGGCATGAACCACCACACGTGGCTTCCTCCCTCAAGTTTAATTAACTCTCTCCTTTCACTTTGTTCTAAAATTCAAGTTTATTTTTATGTCTGTTAATCTATTAAATGGTAATTTTACATAATATTTAAGGACTACCTATATAGTATTTTCAGAAATAATATCTTTTTTTTCATGTAATAGCCTTCCTTCTTTCCTCCTTGATTCCATCTGGATTGTTTTTAACTCAGTTACATTTTTGATAGTTAAAATGTTGGGTTGTTATTTTGAGGAATAGAGGTATTTATCATCACATAAATAGAGTTAAAATGGGCCTTGGAGTTTAATTTTAAATTTTACTCTTGAATGGTTCATTACAAATAGTTATTATTTTTTAAAGTTAGTCATATATGTTAGAGTAGGTCTCCTTTATGTCCTGAAAAATACAGATAATGTGTTGATTGTTATGTGAGAGAATTTATGTTATTTTCTATGGAAAAAAGTGCCAATTAAAGAATGCAGATAAAGCAGACCATGTTTAAACTGAAAGCTAAGTGGTGTGTGTGTATGTGTGTGTGTGTGTGTGTGTGTGTGTGTGTGTGTATATATATGGTTCTAAAGAAAGTAACAGTGACAAAATGTCAATATATTTGCTCATTCTCACACTTAAAGCCTCCTTGTTTTCTATTCCTCAAAAGCGTGGCAAAGGAAGTAGCAAGTGAAATTTCCTAAGTTACTGACTTATTATAGTCTCTCAAATTTTTATTGCAATTATTTTTTTTTTCTTTGCAGAGATGGCATAGAATTTGCTTTTAAAGAACCTAATCCACAAGGGGAGAGCCATCCACCTTTAAATTTGGCATTTCTTGATATTCTGAGTGAATTTTCTTCTAAACTACTCCGACAAGACAAAAGAACAGTGTATGTATTTGCCGGAAATGTCCTATTTAATTTCCTTTTGGGATTCTTAAGGGCAGTTGTTATACTTGGTTTCTCTTCCTTCTACTCACACAGAGTTGTAGGATTGCATTAATGCGCGAAAAACTTCATACTTCAATGACTTTATAATTTAAGGATTATAACTATGTTTTATACATAATACTCTGATATTGTGAGTTCTCCTCCAGTATTGTTATGGCTTTTGAGGTGTAATTTGAATACATTATTTTTTTAAGAGACTGGACTCACTGTGTTGCCCAGACGGCCTCGAACTCCTGGACTTAAGTGATTTTCCTGCCTTAATCTGAGCAGCTGGGACTACAGGCATGAACTACTGTGCTTGGTTGCTTTTTGTGTTCTTATTTGCATTCGTGCCTTAACCGAACTAAGGACGGAGCATTTAAAAGACAATAATAAAGGCAATTCATCAGGAACATCCTTTCATTCTCTGTGTCTTTAGTGCTGGCCACACTGGAAAGTGAAAGTCTCTATATTTCTTTTTACTTTAACTGCTTTTCCCATCTTCAACAGACCATTTAAGCAGGGTACTTTTCTTGTTTAGTCTCCTATAATGGTAACTTGTAAAAGAGCCCCCAAAATGGATTTAAATTCTCAGAAATCTTCTATCTTTCTCCATGGCTTTGAGGTATAAAAGGGCAGAAGAATATGAATACCTCATATTGTAGATAATCTTGTCTAAAAGCGCACTAGTATTTTGCATTTAAAGGCTTACAGATTTTATATGAAATTCTAAAGCAGACAAAACCAATGTGATAAAAATTACAGTGGTGGTTACTTCTAGTGTTGGAGAGTTTAAATGGGAACACTAGGTTACTAGAGTTCTATATCTTGTTTTATTTTTATTTTTTGAAATAAAGTCTAGTTCTGTCGCTCAGGCATGATCTAGGCCCACTGCAACCTCCACCTCCTGGGTTCAAACAATTTTCCTGCCCCTCAGCCCCTCACGTAGTTGGGATTACAGGCACGCACCACCATGCCTGGCTAATTTTGTATTTTTAGTAGAGACAGGGTTTCACCATGTTGGCCAGGGTGGTCTCAAACTCCTGACCTCTGGTGATCCTCTTGCCTTGGCCTCCCAAAGTGCTGGGATTACAGATGTTAACCACCGTGCCCTGCTGAATTCTGTATCTTGTTAGGTGTGTGGGTCACACAGGTCTATGTTCAGTTGTAAAACTGATACAGCTGTGCTCTTAGTTTTGTGTGTTCTCTTACATATAAATTCATTCCAGTTAAAATTGCATAAGCAGTGTTAGATAAGTAAAAACAATGAAATGCCATTTCTCACCTAGCACATTAGGAAAAATTAAGAAGTCTGATAGTGTCAAATAAATATTGCCAAGGATGTGAGGCAGCAGAGCCTTTTATACATTGCTGGTGACAGTACAAGACCATTTTGTGGAGCTCTTCAGCAGTGCCTAGTAAACTTTAAGATTCTCTCTACCTCATGATCCAGTAATTTCATTCATAATTAGATACCCTACAGAAACTCCTGAATACATGCACACGGAGACTGGTAAAAGAATGATGGCTTTTGGATTGTTTGAAATAGTGAAAAACTCAAAACAACCTAAACACTTATCAACTGAAAATGGATCAATAGATTGATATACAGTGGAATACCATACAACAGTTAAAATTGATAGATTTGGCCGGGTATGGTGGCTCATGCCTGTAATCCCAACACTTAGAGGGGTCGAGGCAGGCACATCACGAAGTGAGGAGTTTGAGACCACCCTGGCCAATATGGTGAAATCCCGTCTCTACTAAAAATACAAAAATTAGCCAGACATGGTGGCAAGCGCCTATAGTCCCAGCTACTTGGGAGGCTGAGGTGGAAGAATCGCTTGAACCCAGGAGGTGGAAGTTGCAGTGAGCCGAGATCACGCTGCTGCACTCCAGCCTGGGTGACAGAGCAAGGTTCCACTCCCCC